CTCTTAAAAACATATTGCCAAGTTAATCAGAATTAGTTTGTATTTCCATCACTACATGACAAAAAGAACATATTGATTTTGACTTTTTTTTCCTGCACCATCATCACTCTTGTATATTGTCAAACAAGCAGGATCTTCTGAGTCATTATTCATAAATTGACTAAATAATTGACTGATTTTCCCAAAAGGAGGAAACCTATTGACTTGAGTGACCCCGTGACCCTTGTGTCATCCTCCATCACTGTTGTGTGTGTTCAACTAGTGACTAACGGGCTAATGGGCTTCAGTAGAAGAAGAAGAAGGACTTCTTCTCTGTAAGTGCATATTCTCTCACCTGGTATTTTTAATACGAGCTGCTTGAAGCAAAAACATAGATTTTCTTAATAGCCTGCTTCAGTTTGAGGCTTTTTGGAGCCACGTTTTACTCTCGACGCATTGATAAGAAAAACACACATGAGTGTCTGTGATTGATATGCTGGTTATTGTTAGAACTCAGCAGTTTATTCATGTGTCTAAAAATCCCATCTGAGTAAAAGTACAGAAGTATTATCAGCAGTAAAAGTACTCGTTCTGCAGTAGAAGTATTATCACCTGATGTGTGATGTGACATTATTAGATATTTAATACTGCATCAATGTTAGAGCAGCATGTTACTGTTGTAGATACTTTAACTACTTTATATACAGTCACATAGTTTAGTCCAGTGGTTCCCAACATAGGGGTCAGGCCCCTCTAAAGGGTCACCAGATAAATCTGAGGGGTCGAGAGACAAATTTAAAAGTATGATGAAAAAGCTATGAGCAGCTGCTGTTTGCATGTACAGACAACTATCACCGGGTTAGTTTGACACTGAAGAAAACTTGAAAACGTGGTGATTCTCAGTGAAGTTCTGGAGTTATAAAGAACGCCTTTTACAACGACTTCTACCCGGAATATAGAAACATATTCACGATGGATATCAGAGTTAATGATATCCTCTGAATATATATATAATTTGCAGGTTTTATAAGATAAACTTGAAACCACGGCGGAGCGACTGTCAAACTGAATGAAATTAACTATGCATCCGTCCCCTACGTCTCTCCATTATGCATTAATATCTTTCTACACACCGCTGCTCTGCATGTATCGCCTCTGTGGTGTGAGTCTGACCCATGCTGTTAGCTGCTGGTAATATTAATGATGCAGACATAAATGTAATGTACTTCTGGCTCTGTGAATGCCTTTTGGGTTCATTAAATTCTGTTTTCCTCAACGTGCCCAATATCATCGAGCATCTGGTTAAAAGCGCCTCGACAGTTGAGTTAACCGCAGCAGGAAACCCGCAGGAAGCGCGTTCTTCTTATTGGTATTCAGCGTGGAGAACAGAAGGAATCATTAGGACACTAAAACAGGTTTTTATAGGAGGGGAAGCGCTGCTGGGCAGGATTTTAAGCCTCCCACTCAACAGGGTTAAAGCTGCAAAAAAACAACAGCATTCAGTCCAGAAAGTAAAATAGTTTCTTCTCAAACTGGATGGAAGTCTAACGGCAGGATCTACTTAGTAGATTTAAATCTCTTTCTGTTTGATGTGTTTTGCTGACAAATTCTAAACGACAAGAGGATTAACACATGACTCAACCTCTACAAATGATTAAAACATTGATTGAACTTTTATTAAATCAACCAGCTGACGAAAGGTCAGAAGATTGATTTGCTTCATTTGGTAAAACACGCTCATCTTCACTGTGATTTCTGTCTCCAAAACACTTTTAAAGTCTCCTTTTTAAAAGGTACATTCTAATTCTAGTAGTTGAGTTTCATGGAAGTATCAGATCTTTTATTTAAAGTGAGAAAAATAAGAAAAGTTAATCTGAGTAAAGGTTTGTTGTTGAACTTGTTTTAGTTTGTCCTCAGGTGCTGTTTTATTGGATTACTTTTCTGCAATGAATTTAATAAATACATTTTTTCACAACATTTTTGTAGGCGAACATAAATGAAACATTCATATAAATCATCTTAAATCTTCGAGCCATTAAATATGCATAATGTCCATATCTGAAACTCATAAGAGACTTTGAAGTTTAAACAAAACAAAAAATACTTTTTCTGCATAGATGTTGAAAGAGCTGATTTAAGATGCTCTGGCTGACAACAAATAGAAGATAAAGTCTAATTTTCCACATTTGGCTCCTAAAATAAAATATGACACCAAAGAATTCACCAGAACGCCTCGATATTTAGAAAGTCTTTTGTACTTTTTTATTGAAGTTTTACCATTTATTTAGGGAAACTGTTAACATCTGTCTTCTCATAATGAAAATGTACATTTATCAATCTGCATAAAACATCACATATACAGTACATCAAAATAAATACATCATCTGGTGGGTTTGACTGAGCTCAAGTCAGTTAACTACAGCTACGCTATTCACATCGCAAACCTCCGATGCGTTTGACTTTTCTTTAAGTCCTGAACCGGTCCGGACCTGGAGACTCTGAGGCCAGTCTACGACAGTCATCCATCTAACTACATGTGAGAAATAAGACATCAGTAATGCACTGGCCTAAAGTCATTAAACACCACTTAACTACAGCTAAAGCCAGAGCTGGACGGACTGGAGTCAACAAAAAGCCTTGAAGGTGCCTGCAGGCGGGGGGGGGGGGGGGGGGGGGGGGGGGGGGGGGAGAGGGGAGAGGGGGAAAGAGGAGAGA